ACTGGGAAGCTGGTCACCTGACCACACCATACTCAAAAAACCAATTATACACAGCATGAACCAGCCCAGGGTATCAACCTTTAAGACCTTTGGGTGAAGACTGGAAGGGAAAGCTTGATCTTCAACCCTGGCAGGCAGCACTGGGAGAGTGCTCTTTGATAGAAGCTGCGTCTGGGCTGGCCCACAAACTAATTTTGAGCATGTATAAACCTCTGGAAAACAGTTTAGGAAGAGCCTCTGATGCAGACAGAAATGGTAATTATTAATTTTCTAAATAGAAATCTGACTACTTAAGCCTTATTTAAAAGCATGCCTGTCTCTGTAATTACAGAGCCTTAATTTGTTTTCTTTAGTACACAATAAATAAGGTGTGCACAATTACCTCTGCAAATACAAGGCAGTGCCTCCTGACTGGCTGGTTGAGTACGCAGCCGCCCAGGAAAACATTCAGAGGGAATCACAGCCCCTTAAGTACCTGCTCCCAGGAAAGGGTGGCTCAGGCACTGCAAATATCAACTTGTCTGGCTGTAGGCACAGCCTGCTGGGACCCCGCTCTGCTGCATGCACAGCTCTACTGTCCCACAGCCAGTGCAAGTCCTGTCCTCCCCTGGGCATCAGTTCCTGGTGCTCTGTGAAGCTCAGTTCTGCTGTGGACTTCCCAGTGCCTAATGAGGAACATGTTAATGCTGAATTCTTCCCCACAAGGCACAGCAACAACTTCTCTTTATTCTGCTTCTGCCTGGTTTCATGATATGTGTAGGAAGTTGAACACCTCCTGACTTGTAACTCTCTATCAAGTTCAAATAAATTGGCCAAAGGTTCCAGTGTCATTAGGAGGACAGAGAGAGTGAGAGCATGCAAGGCTCTTTCCTCACTAAGCTGTGCTAAACACAGCAGCACAGTAAATATGTATTCAGATGGTTTCTCTTTCTCAAATTTAGAAACCATACCATCCTAGAGTTTTCTTGTACAGCCTCAAGCCAAAGACTGAGGTTTCCTGTCAATACAAAGATTCCCTCTGCTCAGCTGCATCACCTGCTAACACTAACACCCAGAAACCTTGGCTACAAAGGGTCAGTCTCCCACAGCCTAGACCTCACATCCAGTGCATGAGATTGCCCAGGACCATCCCTGTAATAGCCAAAGGCTGTCAAACATGCAGAGAAATTGGACCAGGAACCTACCAATGCAACTTCTCCCAGTGAGATCATCTTCACTGGGAGATATCCAGCTTAGATCAGACACACATCCACCCCTATTTAGCACCCAGCCAGCATTTCTTTTGGAAGGAATAAACTGTCTCAGCCCAACCACCAGCAGAAGAGGTAGATCCATGCTGGAAAACCCACTGTTACATTTTGGATTGTCTCCATAACAGTGATAGGTTTCACATCACCAATGACCAGACAGAGCCCTAATTGTCCTCATTCAAGAAGAGGGAAGAGGAAACCAAAGCTATTTCTATATTCACATCTCTGGCTCAGTCACCCACTGCTCCTCCACTGATTACATCGGCCTCAAGCTCCTTGCACTTAATACAGCTAATTTAAAACCTTAAAAGGACATGCATGACCCTGCCAGGCTGCACTTTGGAGCACCCTGAGGTCCACCACTTGAGCAGCTGAGTGCTGAAAGTCCCCTTCATGGGTTTCCCACCTTTCCTCCCTGACTCTGTGATTGGCAAGGGAAAAAAAAAAACAAGCCAAGCTTCACCCAAACCCTCACAAACCTGAGCTCCTGCAATTAGAGCTGGGATAAGTGATCTACTTGTGATTGCACAGCTGGGGTCTGAAGACAAGCGCGTGCACAGAGGAAGGGCCAGAAATAGATGCTACTGGGAGAAGGCAGAGCTATCTGGCCCATCTGAGAGGAGGAAACCTTGATGAAAGGCACTGGGAAAAACTCAGTTCAGCAGGAAGTTTTGATTTAACCCAGGACGGGAAGAGAGGTGTGTGTGGGGTGGAAATAAGCTTATGAGACCTCAGAATTTGTATGTGAACTTCAAGTGAAAAAACTGCTCAGATGCAGGTTATAACACCCTGCAAAGGTCCAGCCTAGGGCCCCAGGGCCCCCACCACCCTGTGACAACCCTCCCCGGCAGTGAAGCCACCCTGTCATTTATTAGACACATTTGTCATTTTATGACTCAACTCCACCAGCAACCATCCAGACAGCCACCAAAGGAGAAAGAAAATGAGAGTGGCAGCAAAAATGTGTAGCAGTACCTCAGCAAGCCCTAAGCACCATCCCATGGTGCCAGCCCTGCACCACAAGAGGACTGGGACAGTATCCTTCACTCCCATCCACTGCTATACCTGGTTACAGCAGCCCAAGACTTACAGCAGAGTGACATTTCCATTAATCCTTTTATCCCTGGCTCCTACGTGCAGAGGTTGCAGAAAATGTCAGGCCTTTGAGCTGAGCTCCCAAGGAGGCAGAGCAACCAAGGAGCACCTTGATGTGCTGGCAGAGTGCTGAGGCCATGGAGGGGATCCCAGGTGGCACCAGGCTCCTGCCAGGCTGTGCAGAGCCTCACCAGCCACCCTGGCTGCAAGGAAGCATCAAAGGCATCGTGGTCTGAGAGCCTTTGGGAAGCAGCAGGGAGCCACCAGCCCTGCGAGCCCAGGTCTCTATCTGTGGGAGTCTCCAACATCCCTCTGGCTGCCCTGGCTGTCTCCAGACCCTGGCATGAAGTCAAAAACACCTGTGGCTTCAATTTCAGCCCATGGAAAAAGCTGCCAGCGTTGTATGAGGAATTACAAGCCACAAGGGTTTGAATAGTGTGGTAGTTGAATTAACACAGGGTGGAAAAGTAGAATTTTAGGGCTTTTTAGAATGGGGTTCAAGGGGACAAGATGGAGAGGTTTGGGCATGTCCTGACCTCCTTCTCCTTCTTGCCCTCCATGTCTTGGTATGACGGTGACACTTTTCTATTGGTTTAAGGTAGAGACATACTGTCCAACATAAATGATAGATATTGGCACGTTATTGTAAACATAGTACACGTAGGGTTTGGTATAATATATAAACACTGCCCTGAGGGCAGACAGAATGCCATGGCCAACCTGCTAGACAGAGCTTAGCAGGTCAGAGAGAGAATGCTATAGATAAGAAAAAATAAACAACCTTGAGAAGCCGACCCTACACATTCTGACTTCTTTGGCTGTGGGCTGGGAACAAGGACTCTTACACTCTCGGGGTCACCTCAACACCCAGACCCCGAGATCTATCCTTGACTGTCCAGCATCCCTCACAGGGAACATCCACACTGCCAAGCCCCAGGAACAGCATCAAAACCCACTGGCAAACACCAAGCAAATAATATACTTAGTTGCCTCGAGCTCCAAAAGGCAAGGAAAGAAAGATGTTAAGAACATGATCAATCTTACAGGGCCCAAGCAGTAAACAAACACATATTTCATCACCACGTACGAATCCTAACTCTTGACAGAAGATGGATGTGGGGTTTTTTCCACTCACAAAAGTAATTCCAAAAGACAAAAACAAACACTTTGGGGAAAAGCAGCAACAATTGCCTGTGTACACATTACTGGCACATTCAGCCTCAAAGCTAGCGTACATGGCCTTCTAAACTCCTACAACATCCAAACTAATTTCATCAGGAATCAAATGTTATTCATTTTATCTGCTAGATACATAAACAGCAACTGCACAATTGACAAACAACAGTCAAAAAAAATCAATTGAGAGTGGTTCAGAGAGAACTGCTTCCCAGGAACAAACAACTACAGAAAACACAAAACAAATGCTACAAATCAAAATAACAAAGAGCAGAAATCAGGAATATCCCAGTGGTCAGCATTAAGAGAGTTTATTATGAAAATATGCAATTCTTTAAGCTCAAAAAGGCTCAGTTCATGTTCACAATGCCCTCAACTATTCATGTCCTTTGGTACTGCAGATCTTCTATTTAGCAAGTACTTTACTGTCACTTAGCAACTGTAAATGGTTTTCCAAAAAGGAAGCTTTTGGGGTTTTTCAGTTCACATCATCTCTGAGCAGACATCAAAAGACAAATGCTCTGCAGGTCGCTTCCATCTCCTTGCCCCAGGAACAAGTCTGTATCGATGGCCCAATGCACCCACACACTCAAATGAATGCACTTTTTCACCGAAGAAGCCACAAGCACCGCTTTCCAAAAATCAGGGATAAACACTCCCATTCACCCATCAGCTGGTGCCCAAGGCCAGGGCCTCACACCAAACCCTTTTCACCTTTCATAGCTACAGTGGAGCAGAGAGGGCTTTGATCTTGGACACAGTCACTTGGACAAAAAAAGCCCACGGAGCACCTTGCACAGTGGCCTGAAATTCAGGCTTTGCTTTATCACCTTGGGAAAAGTAAACACACATCTAGAAAAGAAGGAGGTGGAAACTGGCCTCAAGGAGGTGGAAATTCCCCGTTACACCACTCTCTGGCTAACAATGCCCAGCAGCTGGACACCTGTGCGATGTCCCAGGATAACAGGGCTCCAGCCTCTCCAGCACAAAACATCCCCACCCCACGGCCCCTGCAGACACCAGTTTAAGTCAGTAATTAGCAGCAGAGCTGGCAGCTCCATACCGCAGGATTTGTGTCAGAAAAGCAGCCTTTGGTTAAAAAGTAATGAGCGGGGCAGGCTCTGGCTGTGCGCTGGGGTGAGCGGGCGGCCGTCCCCAACTCTGCAGAAAGGGAAATGCACAGCAGCAGCCACCGGGCTGGAAATGATGCAGCGCTCGGCAGAGTGGCCATCAAAGCCAGGGCAGCTATTAGGAACCCAAACTCCTCAGCTTCCCAGCAGGAGCTCTCCCATCCTGCAAGCAGCCCATTCCACTTCCCTGTGAAGTTTCCCTGTCCTTTCCCACCTCTGCCTCTCTTTCCCCATCAGCATTCCTCTTCCCTCTCCTTGCTGTCCCCACAGGGACAGTGGGGATCCACCTTGGGAACCACATTTCCGTAGGGAAAAGAGGCAAAAGGGGACAGGAGCTGTTGGCACTTACATATAGTGCAGGTGGGGGTTCTTGGCAAAGGCTCGTGGCTGGATGTTTCGTAGTCCTGAGTTCCTGATTGTCCTGCAGAGAGATGCAGAAGGGCAGCAATGGAGTCAAGACAGACAATTGCTATAAAGCCCAGCTCAGCACACCAAGTGTGCCAGGAGCCCGTGACTCCACCCACACCATTCCCAGGAGGAACATCTGTCCCTGAGCAGCCACTAGCAAAGAGAAATTCTGGCTTTTCATCTCTATCTGGCGTGGTACCACAGCACAGGCTGAGCAGAGAGTGGCTGCTGGGCGAAGTTTTGCTCCCATCCCCAACTGTGCTGGGGTGGCACAGGACATCTCCTGCTCCTCTGCTCTCCCTCCATCCCCACAAGCAGCACTGCACATCAAACCTAACCACAGCAAGGTCATCTCCCATCTTCATATCCAAGAGAAAAGCCTGCTGCTTGCAGCTCTGATAAAGAAGGGTATTTTCCATAGGGAATTCTGAATCTTGAAGGGAGAAAACTCCTTTTCACAGCTTAATTTGGAAAAGCTCTTTCCATAGTATAACCAGGATTTGTCAATACTCTCAAACACATGGTGTGACTATTGGGGATGGCCCTGTGCAGGGCCAGGAGTTAAACTTGATGATCTTCGTAGATCCCTTCCAGCTCAGCATGTTCTGTAATTCTGTAAATATCTGCTGTCTCTGCTGCTTTGTTCCATGAGGCGAAACAACAGCCAGCCTGTTTACAAGGGGTTTGTGTGTTAAAAGTACAGCTTGCTGGAATTTGGTTACTGAGTGCTCAGCCCCGTACAGCTCCTCCAGCCCACATGGGAGCTGTACTTAATGTAAAGCTCCCAGTGAAACACATTATTAGAGTCTCTGATTAGCCCTGAGCAGCACTCTGCATCTCACACACGCAGCATCCAGGGTGCTCACAGACCCAGAGGAGGCAGGAGAGGGAATTAAGAGACTGAGTGGCATCCTTGGCCAGGTTTCCCAAGCATATGCGAAATCCCTTCAATCCCATGGACCTCAGTTTCCCCTCCATGACGCACAAAACTGACCTCTCTCCATGCTCGGAGAGCTGTGCAGGGAGATGCAATTCCCTTATTGCACAGCACCACCACAATGGTAACTGCACTAAATGAGGACCAACAGCCCAGCAATGAAGGATTGGTGGAGACAGCTGGAATTTTACATTGTGGGGCTGGAATGAGTCAGAGCAACACACAAGCCCAGAATCAGAACAGCAGGGGAGAGGAGAGGTCAGGGCTGATGTGTGTTGACAGAGCTGTCAGGAGCTAGCAATCCTCCTCCTCACAGACCCAGCCAAGACCAAAAAGCATTTCATCTCTATTTTGTGGACTCCCATAGCAAAACGCAGTAGATCCAGCAGCTTAAACTGGCAGTATGGAGGCTGCAGAGGGGATGAAGCCGTGGCTCTGCTGGAAGGAAGGGGCTGCCCAGGCCCATTGCCCTCTCGGATGCACAGGACATACTCACAGCCTCTGGAGTCCCGTGTACAGCTCCATGTCAACGGCGTTCAGCGTCTGCAAGTTCTTCCAGTTCTCTATGTGTCTGTGGAGAAGAAGGAAAGGCTCAGCTGTGGCACAACCAGATGGTTGCTGAGCCCATGCCAGGGACAGCACACAGAGGGAGGGTGTCATACCCTACCACTCAGCCCCATTCTGTTTTCCCAGCCTTTTGGAAAAGTCAAATATCATGGGTTTACTCACAGCTTCCAACACGGAACCTGCAACCAAGCCATTGACTATCCTTGCCCAAGTCATTGCCCCTCACTGCACACATCAGTGAACAAAGACATCATTGAAATTGGTCGTGCAAAAAGAGTGAAAGCAAATAAAACCTCTCAACAAAAACTGAGGGCCTAAATGAAAAAAGTCATATATTTATCCAGTCTCTAACTGGGGTGGATACACAGGGTCCAAGCCTTTGCTGGCTGGAAGCGCTGCTGGCAGGAGAGCACCAAGCTTAGTTTGGAAACATTGCCTTTATTACAAATTCCTCAGTCGCCTGGGGCAGTCTGGCAGGTATGTTACAGGGAACAAAAACAGAAATAGATCTGTCACTGCAGGATCATTTTCAGTAAATATTAGAGGCGGGGGAGGGTGACAGATCAGCAGCCCCAGAGAACAGGGTCCCCTGTTATCGGCAGCACAGGAGTGATGCTGGCAGCAGTGCGGCTGCCTGGCTGTGGCCACAGGCCTCTGCTAAGAGGCTGAATGCTGTGTGGTGTGAAAGGAGTTCAATCCTCATCTCCCAGGCAGTTTTTGACCAGTTCTGGCTTTCTCCCAGATTAAACACAGACGCCCTTCCACCAGAAACACAAACATTTTCAAGAGGGTCTTTTCTGAGAAGCAGGTGGAGGTAGTCCTCTCTAAAAGCCAACTGGGAGGAGAGAAAACATCTGGCAGGTCCCTTTGGACAATATGTGAAAGAAGCCCAACTTTGAAGTCTCTGAACATGTGCACCCAAGCTCACATCTGCCTTGATGCAATAGTTGGCTTTGGACTTGACCCTGGAGAGGGGAAACATCTCCAAGTGGTGAAGGGTTGGAGCGACGAGAAAACACTGAGAACTGCCTGTGATTCTAGGCAAGAAGGTTTCAGGACCCCACATGGTGAGCAAGCAGAAGAGGGATCTTAGACCACTTATAGAGCAGTCACAGGGGCCACAGATTCCTCCTCCAGCATTTGCTACGCCTTGTGCTTGCACAAGAACAGGTGAATTAGCACAAGGGAAATACATGAACCTACTTGGGCTGCACCCCAAATTACATCCGTCTCCAAAAAAGGAAAACACAAAGCCTGAACCAAATCTCCTTACATTTCTCTGCTCTCACCATGCAGATCCAAGAAAGGAGAGACCCAAAAGAGTCACCTCTGCTTTCCACAAGTTCCACAATTTGTCTGCATGCCCAGAGGGGTTATGCTAAGGACACAGCACAAGCTCCCACGTGCTGCTGCAGGACAGGGTAAATCACAGCTCATCCCCAATGCCCTGCTCATCAGCTCAGATCGCCTGTGTCCCAGACAGAATGAGAAACAGGACATTGTTACAGCCACTTTGTGCTCCCTGCCATTGTCTACGGCCCCTGTGAACATTTCCAGAACAAATCACAGACTGGGAGGAGTCAGTCAGGAGATCCAAGAGCTCAGTGAAACTCTGGAGTCAAGGCAGGGCTGCCAGCTCAGGCCATGGGCCATGAGATTGCAGGACTGAGCAAGGCCAGAAACAAAGGTTGAAAACATTTCTTATCTGCAACTCCTACATAGCAAAGTGAGGGTCCTCCAAGAGAAAGGATGTGGGAAGGAGGAATGGGATGATCTTGGTTTACCACCAGGGCAAGCTGCAGCTACAGCATCCAAGCAATGACCTTCAGGGAGGGATGGAACAGCCCCGAGCCAGGAGTTATGGAGCAACCACAGCTGGGAAGGAGGTGGCGGCCAGATTGGCTCTTGTTTTATTGATTGTGTTTGCTAAAAAAAGTCAGGGTTATTTTTGACCTGACACTCAAAGCCATGTGGGCAGCATTCTAGAAGAGACAGAAAAAGACATGAGCTTGCTCCCAGTGAGATGCCCAGGCGTGAATTTCCTACGACTCAGCACTGGTGCATGGGGGTCTTGGGGCCTCCCCACTCCCCTCCAGTGACATGACACTACACTGTAAACACAGCTCCACAACCTGTGTTGTGTTCCAGCCTCACAAACAAAGCCCAAGAGCTTCCTCAGCCAGATATACTTTAGTTCACTCTTTAACATAGACATACCACACCCGTAGAGAGACCAGAAAAACAGCAGTGGAAAAACACACACACACACACACATATATAGGATAATCCCCCAAACCAGCAGCTGCTTTATGTAGAGTGCAATGCAGGGAAATAACAATTAGGTGCACAGGTCAGCAAGGATCTTTGAGATCTTTAAAATACACAAGCACCTCCCTTCTCATGGATTTGCAGAAATGGCTTTTCCCCTTTTCTCTCTGATTTTTCAACTTAGTGCAAGTCATACCTTGCTTCTAGAAGTGACAAATCAGTCTTAATTTACAGGCACCTCAAAGATACACCAGGAAAAAATATTTTCTTTGGTTTCCTATTGCTTTAGAAAGAATAGTGTAACTTTGCACTGGCTAGGTTCACCTGAACCCACTTAAAAACAAAACAGAAATGCATCTTACTCTGAAAGCTCAAGGAGTCAAGCTGTGATTGCAAAATTGGCAGTGGTTGCACAGGAAAGCAAACCAACCAAGTGGAGAAACTCCACCCCTGACACTTCAATCCCTTTCATGTCCTTCAGTATCTCAACTAGCGCCCCTTCTTTTCCTTCCAGGGTTTTGCTTGCCCTGGAAATCTTGTATCCTCCCACTTGCTGCTGAAGACTGAGACCTTCCTCCTCCTCTGCCTTGGTTCATTAACCTGACAGGAACAGGGGTGCCTGGTTCACACCAAATACAGCTATGACAGCTCCCAGCCCTGCCCTGGTCTCCTCAGGCAGGCCTAGAGGTATGAATTACCATCAGTGGACTACAGTTTACTCCTCCCTGCACATCTCTAAGTACATTTTCCTGTGGCATTCCTCAGTTATTACTAAGGCAAACTGCTCTTCTGCAAGACCCAATAGCTTCAAGAACATTACAATACTTCACAAATCCTGAGGAGCTCACCATGTGCAGACCCACCTAGACTCATATCCAGCTTCTAATTGAGACCATATGAGGTGCATCACTAGCACAGATGATGTTGCTCACTTATTTGCTGGGTGGAGAATGGAGGGTAGGGCATGTTTGTTTAAATACTCACTTACTTCTTATATTTCTTGTATGCTAAAAGGGTCCTGATGGTCCAAGTCCCCTTGCTTGCACTGTAGAGCTGAATTATACCATGGCTTCTACAGTCCAAGCAAATCCCACCTTGGGAGTAACAAGGGCTTTGCCCTCCCAACTCAGACTGAAAAGCTGTTTCAGTCTCTCTCATTCCTTACCCAAATATACTCACTTGCATTTTACACCCATTTTCTCTTGTGTCAAAACTGTCTTTGCTTAAGCACCTCTTTTTCTTTCCTGGCACTTCTTCCTCCCCCCTTTACAAGCAGGAGCCAGGCCCACCCAGCTATCATTTAAAAGCTACATGATGCCAGGCCTTCTAAGGCAGCACATCTGTACCTGTGAAGTGCAAGGCAAATTGTCTCAAGTGCCCTGAAGAGACACTAACTCACGTCCCAGAAGTGATGCAGATATATTGCTCAGGCAGAGTTCTGGCAGCAAGGTTATTTTGTTTCTGCACAACTAATGCTCACACCTGGTGATCAATGCAAGAAAAAGCACTGTGACAGACACATAGAAAATGGCTATTTGCTTTATCAGCCTGTTTAAGTCCCTTTTCCTTGAGTAATTGTGACCAGAAACACAGAGCAGTCTCCAGGAGATCTCACTTGTGTAACAGCATAAGCAGCTCCCCAGTTACACTGAAAAAAAACATGATTTGCAGCCTGGGGTCACACTGGTCTTTATCACAGCCCCATCAGCCAGGAGGATTGAGTCTACCCCATTATTAAGCATTGTACCCAAGATTTCTATCCAGCTGGCCATTTCTAACAGACATGATTCCTAGCCTTGTTACACCCACATTTATATCACCCCACCTGGCATTGCAGTGTCTCATGGGTTTGTTACCGCAGCTCTTCCCACTGGCCACCCTCACCTGACTTTGTGTCCCCACAGCTGCAGCAGCAAAGCCCGTGAGCAACTTCTGCCTCTGTGCCAGCATCCTCAATAAAAGCATGAGCCAACATCACCTCCAAAGAGCCTCAGCACTTCTCATTTTTCAACACCTCCCACCATGACTTCACCTAGCACACCTGGGCCAGACAGTGTCTTCTCCAGAAAAATAAACCACTTGTGATGTAGTGCAGCGCCATATCAACCTCTCAGCACAAAGTCATCTCTTTGCTGCCTTTCCAAAGGAAGGCATAGGCTTAGCCTGACAAAAGCTAACCTTAGGACACCAACCCTGCATCACATCTCATGCACCCACAGACATGCTTTAGAACTTGTTGAAAACCTTGTAGGCCACTGCAGCCAGACCAGTGGTCAGTCCCCAGCTCTGTGCTGTGTCCTGGTTAACAGCAAACCTGTGAAGCCCAGTTGGTCAGCTCAGCAGCTTGCAAGCCTCTCCTCCCTCTCACAGATCCCCTGTGGAGCCAGCAAGGCAGCCAGGTGTCTTTGGCCCAGCATCACACACACAGAGATCAGTGACTTTGCTGACCAGAAGGTCACCAACTCACAGGGTTTAGGTACCAGAAGGTGTTGAAAGTTCCAGGACCTTGCCCTGCCTGCTGGAAGGGGGCTGGTAGCTAACAAACCTGTGGGAACACCAAATCCTTTCATTCCCAGAAGGAGTGCCTGTGTCTGACAAAAAGGCTGGTGTCACCTTCTTGAGACTACACAGCTTCATACCCTCCCCTTGCAGCCCAGGGCTCACGCAGCAAGGGAGACTGGAATATCCACTGGGATTCCAACACAGCCAGGCTCATTTCATCCCACATGCACCAGG